TGTGAATTAGAAAATCACACTGTGTTTGAATGCCTTTATTTAAACTCAAAACTCCAAGGAAAATTTGTAGATATTCAGAAGCTATTATTGCATTTCTATAAATTTTCCTTGGAGTTTGGAGTTTAAATAAAGGCATTCAAACACCCAGTATAGCTTCCTAATTTAAAGAACATAGAGTATCTGTCTTTTGAGAATTACATAATAATATATACTAATAGTTTATTCTCATCTTTACACTGGTCAAGTTTAATTTGGATGTTCTTCATCACAAATAGCAGCTTAATCAGGGTTATATAATAGCATGAGACAGAAAACAAGAAAATAAAAAAAACCAGATTCAAACATCCCTTAGTACAGACTAGTGCTTTACTATGTAGCCACCTGGTTCATAATTTTTCTGTTTTAATCAAAGCTTAAAAAATATAGTCCTATAAATTTAATACAGAAACCACTAAGTAATAAAACTTTCTTTTTAATTGAATATGGCAAAATATTTCTTAACATCCAGAATAGCTTTTACAACCCAAACAAAAAAATACCTCAAACATCTCTTGAATAAATGCAGCGTTTTATTTTAAAGATAGCACAATACAAAACAAAAAAAAAACAAAATATAATTACAAAAATTATTGTTTTAAACCATAACATAAAATAAATACACACCTGAGAACACTTGTGTAACTCATAAATCATAAATCATGAATCATGTGTAACTTAGAAAAGTATGAATTTAAAACGAACATATTCACAAGTACCAAATGGAACTTGTGAATATGTTCATTTTAAATTCATACTTTTCTGAGAAAAACTGGACCTGAAGAAGATCCAAAGAAAGAGAAGGTTCACAAAAACATTAGTCCATTTTCCACATACATGATTTATTGGAGTTACACAAGGGTTCTCAGGTGTGTATCATACAAAAACTCCAATCTATAGAGAGTATGATATTCGAGCATAAAAATAAACCCATAATATAACAATGACGGTGTAAATGCATGCATAGATTATTTTAAAAAATCATAGATAACAAATAAAACTTCAGACACCTTCAGACAATATCTTAGAATCTATTAAAAATGAAAAGTTTATATCTATTCAATTATTATTGTATGTAATCTACTTATAATTTGCACATTACTGATCAATAACAATATTTATTTAGTTTAAAGTAGTAAAACAAACAACACTAGGAAAAACATAAGCAATAATATTACAGAATTAATTGTAAATTTTGGTGATGACAGAAAGTTTTTGCATCAAATAGCTTCAAAGCTAGTAACTAGCAAATCAATAGTTTCTTTTGATATAAAAAAGTACAAGAAAACCAATAGCATCAATCCAGAAAAATTTACAGGATGACTGAAAATTGTGACAGCTTCCAATCTCAAATTCTCTAGCAGAATTATCAAAGAAAATTGGCAAGCATTGTTTGTAGAATTGGTGATTGAATAGAATGCAACCACTAGTAAACAAACTGATGAGCCTTGTTTTGCAGAAACTTGGCAAAAGGTTTTATTGATAAAGTAACAGTTCAATATCTTAACACAAGAATATAACAGTTGTTTCAATATGTGATTTTTCTTTTAGAGTTAAGAAAAAATCCTATTAATTAAACTTCAAATGAAAAATCAACTATAGTGAGATCAAAATTGGGTGCAACAATAGTGGAGCACAATTGTTTTCAGCAGTAAAGCCAATTTTGAGATTTGCATTGAAAGTAATAAAAATAAATAATCCAAAAAATATGAATCCTTTCATTTTAAGAGCCTTAATCATATTACCAAATTCCCAGCAAGCATTACAGTATGGAGTTGCATGAATGCTCAAAATTTTGGCACTCTCAGCTTATTAACAGAATTTGGAAAAACATCGACAGATCTTGCAAAAAATTTTTCTTCTGTATCTGGAAAAACAGCAAAACCCAAATGTAATTTTTAAATAGGATGGTACAACTACCAAAATGAGGTTCTTCGGTTGAAAATCACAATATAAAAAGTTCTGCAGAACTTTTTATATTGTGATTTAACTATTTAACTATTAAAGATCTCAACAGACAGCAATTGGCTTACAAAAAAAATCTAAGATGCCCAGGATTAAATTACTCGAGTCTATTGTTGGGCACTTATTAATACAACGTGTAAACATATAAATATAGTAATACAAACAAAAGGTGATATAAGATCATACTAATTGCAGTGTTCTGTTAATGCTAGAGATGTTTAAAGTTGTTTTTGTCACTTATGCTTTATTCAAGTATTATTTCTTTAAAATGTATGCATGCATTTGCATTTTTATTGGGTTATTTATGCAGTTTAACATAAAACAATTTTTGTAAACAAATTCATTGCTTTGTCTTTCTTATGTAACACAGTTTAAAATCAAGAAGTGTCCGAGGTGCTTTGTGTTGTAATAGTATTAGTTTATGTAAACTTACACAAAACTTCAAAATTATATTATACAAATTAAAGAATCAAGGAATAAAACACACCTTTAATAATCCAGCAAATAAAAATTAATAAAATAAAAACGTTTTTGATTGTTTCTTAACGATCTTCATCAGTTAACATATCATAGAATAAAATCGAAGACAAAAACGAACGTAAATACAAAATTAAAAATATAAATAACGGAAAAGTAGCTGTAGTGGAAAAAATAAACAAAATAATATAAATTAAGTTGAAAATGTCCCTTAAAACCCGGGAGGGATCACTTGTCCCACACTTGTCCACACCTTTTATTATGATTTGCTGAATCGTTAATAATTATGTTTTACTGATGTGACTCACAGTACCTTTCTATATTCTTTGTTATTATAGGAATGTATGGCCGTTACTCAGTTTCGCAGAACGCATTAACAGATAATGGCTTTTTGGGGTCATGGTGACCCACAGCGACCCTTGACTTCTGCATAAATTTGTAATGTTTGTAAGAGGTGGTGGGTCATCATGACCCACATTCTGTCTATTTTCAATCGCCAAACCGTTAGTGGTCACCTGCAAGTAGTTTAGTGTTTCTAGGAACATATTAGTTTCATTGAATGCATTGAAAGGAAACAATTTTTGTTGATTTGTCAAACCCTAAAGCGATGCTTTTCATTTGTGTAAATTTTACTACTACATTATAGTCAAATAATAGTTTGTAGTCGTTGTTTGTAGTCGTGTTTCATGGTCTTCTTGTGTATGAGTGTATAGTGTATAGAATGGATCAAAAAGAGATAGATAGAATACATGCTATGCTAAACGAAACTTTGTCAGAAGACGAAGATGACTACAGTCGACTCCCTTATAACGCGATAGATATATTCCACTTTATAAGAATTTCACGTTGTAGGAATCCTTAAATACATGAGCCAATCACAGCCTGGCACGTATGCAGTTTATGGACTACAGCTGTTTGAAAGGTTTTCTTCCATAAAATTAATCGATTCTAGATTAATTTGACTCAACATTTCCAAAACACATATAATTTTTTGGGAATAATCCATATAAACTATGCTATAAACAAAAAATTGTAGGATTATTTACTGAGTGTGCACCATTCGATGACAGCACTGCTTAAGCTTGTTTTTGCCACAGAGCAGCGCACCAAACGGTGGGCACGTTTTTTGATAAGTTATTTTCTTCAAAAAATTCACTGAACTCTGGAGACATCATTAATAGAAATAATTTTTATGGCCGTTGAATAAGAAATGTTTTTTTCACAAGAAATGTATAAAATTACAGTACTGTATTAGACTTACAGTACCTAATTTATATACTGTACAGATGATAGTAAACTCAACTTACCCGCCTAAACTCTCGTAGCGTATAAGTAGTTCGGCTGCTCGTCCACTATTGGTCCAGATTCGACCAACCCTGTCGCGACACAAGTCGGCGATGACGTTTTACCACATTTTATGAGTCCCTTTTAGTGTCTTTATACAAATACATTCACAATTTTTTGGCCGCGATATACGAATCCGCATCCGCATTATATGAACCCACGTTATAAACAAGTCAACTGTGAGGAGAGTGATTCTGGAAGTACTGTTGATGCAGAGGAAGAAAATTGCGATAATGTACAGTTTGATACTGATACATCACAAAGTGATAATGATGAAGACGACATTCTCTCACACAATGGAAATTTCTACACGAGAAAAGATGGTACGAAATGGAAGAAGATAAAACAATTTCAGTCTGTGCACAATCAAAGACACAACGTCGTCACTCATCTTCCAGGTTGTAGAAGTCAAGCAAGAAATGCTAACACACCTCTGGATGCTTGGCAGTGCTTTTTTCCTGATGCTATTTTACAAAAGATAATGGACTATACTAATGTCAATGTAGAAATTATTAAATTGAAGTATACTCATAAAAGAGATGCAAAACCTACAAATTTAATGGAGATAAAAGCTCTTCTGGGACTTTTATATTTTTCCAGTGCATTGAAGTCCTCACACATACACACTGACGAATTGTGGAACAATGATGGCACAGGAGTTTCCATTTTTCATACAACAATGAATCAACAGTGATTCAGATTTTTGTTGAGGATATTGCACTTTGATGACAAGAGAGATTGTCAAGTAAGGATTGCACTTGATAAATTTGCTCCTGAGAGAGAAATATTTAAACTTTTGGTAGAAAACTGTAAAAAAAAAAATTTCTGTATAAGTGCATACACAACAATTGATGAAATGTTGTGGAGTTTTCGTGGCAGATGCCCATTTCATCAGTTTATGAAAAGCAAGCCTTCTAAATATGGAATAAAGATGTTTTCGCTGGTAGATGCTAGGACCTACAACATACTAAATATGCAAATTTATTTAGGAAAACAACCTAATGGTCCATTCAGTATTGATCAAACTCCTTCTGCCGCTGTGAAACGTCTGATACAACCAATCTCAGGTACTGGACATAATGTAATGTATGACAATTGGTTCACAAGTGTTCCATTATCTCAAGAACTCCTGTGTCAACACAACTTCACAACAGTTGGATCAATAAGAAAAAACAAACATGAGTTGCCTGTATGTTTTCTTATCACCAGTGGTAGAGAAGAGTATATCTTCACTTTTTGGATTTGGAAAAGACTATGCAACTCTAGTTTCATATGTTCCTAAAAAAAGAAAAGTTGTCTTATTGTTGTCAACAATGCATCAAAGCAATGCAATTGACCCAGAAATAGGCGATAAGAAAAAAACCGAAGCTATAACGTTTTATAACGCAACAAAGAGTGGAGTAGACACAGTCAATGAAATGTCAGGCAGCTACTCTGTTGCAAGAAAAAGTCAGAGATGGCCACTGACAGTATTCTATAACATGTTGAATATAGCAGCAATAAACACCCTTATTATAGTTGCACGTAACAAAAATCGCAAATGCCACCCTATTATACGGAGAAAGTTCTTGAAAGAGTTAGCTTTAGGTCTGGTAAAGCCCTACATAAAATGCCGTTTCAAACCGCCAAATCTGAACATAAAGCTAAAAAGTGACATACTAGAACTTATAAAAGAACCAGATGACAATCCTGAAAATACAGAAAAAAATATAGAATCTTCAAATAAAAGAAAAAGGTGTGGAAAATGCCCAAGGACTGGAAATAAGACTTCCAATTACTGTGCAATTTGTGAAACTCCAATTTGTGGAAAGCATGGAAAACTCACATGTTATGACTGCCTAAAACAGGCATAAATATAATTTTTTTAAATCATGAAGTGACATACCTTTTCTACAATAAAAATAATTTTTTATCATCACTAACTGTTTCATGTTTTTTTAAATAGTTAGAATTTTTCAGTTACTTATAAAAATTTCCCAAAAATTTAACATGTAAATTCAAATGTTAATAAATAATTAACTAAGGCTAACAAAGTAAACATATATATTTATTAAATTACTAAACAGAATGGAAAATAATATTTAAAAGAAAAAAGTGAAAAACGTTGAACTGCNTATAAAAATTTCCCAAAAATTTAACATGTAAATTCAAATGTTAATAAATAATTAACTAAGGCTAACAAAGTAAACATATATATTTATTAAATTACTAAACAGAATGGAAAATAATATTTAAAAGAAAAAAGTGAAAAAAGTTGAACTGCTAAGAGAGAAATTAATATTTAAAATGCAAGTTGAGGTGACACACAGTGACCCCTACAGATTGTCAAGCAATGCGACCTCTGCCGGGTAAATAAAAAATAAAAAATGCTTTCAACCTGAAAGCAAAGTCGAACTGAAAGACAGATAGGAAATGAGGTTAGTTAGAGTACTCAAGAAGAAATAATAAAACTACATTTTAATTACTTGAAACAGAATGCTTAATGCTTCTGTGGAATGTATTGATTATTGCTGCTAATGGTTGATTTAATTTGAACACACAACAGCCTAACTGAGCCAAATAATCAGTAATTCTGGATACAACAAAACAAGGATACGACTACATAGAAAAAAAATATAAACAACATTATGACGTATATAGTCAATGATGATAATCAAAAGGAACAAGTTTCATAGGATTACTCAGTGTTCTCCAGTTGAATTCTCTTATATTTTTAGGCTTAGTTTTTGTGAGACATTGAAAAGTCATGTAAAATAAAATCAACTTTACTCCTCATAAATTTAAAGTTGCAAATTATGCAATTATTTGAATCAAGAAAAATGGTTTTTAGACTAATTAAAATGGTGCTCTTTAATATTATTATTGAAACTTTTACATTACCTTTGCTCATTAAAAGTTAAGCATTAAGTGACCTTGAAAATCAGTTTTTAAGGTCACTTATGCTTAACTTTTAATGAGCAAAGGTATCCAATTCCCCACACATGCCTTCCTATATAACTACATTAACAATATTAATATATCTTCAATACTCTTGGAATGAAAAGGGTGCAAGGGACTTTTGACTTATCCTGTATATGTGTGTATGTTGGTAGGATGTTCTGGAACAGATATAAAAGTTCTAATGTTTGAGAAGTCTTCTCTTGGTCAATGATTATCAAAGGTCAAAGGAAGTCAGGATAGGAATTATAATGACAAAGAAAGCATTCTGGCACCTTAATGACCTAATGAGGAGAGATGTATCAAATGCTCTTAAACTAAGATAATGATTATGAGTAACGAAAAGCTGCATAAGGTTGGCCCTACTTTATGTTTGTGAAACACAGACAACAAAAGAAAAATGTACATTCACATCTTTCAAGACATGATGTATATAAGGAAATGCTTAATATTAGCTTTAGGAATAAAGTTTGAAACAAAGAAGTCTGACAATGTATTAGCAATGCATAAGAGAAAATAAAAATACAGTGACCATATCCTACAGGGCTTGATGGGATTATTCACAACTGTGGATGGACACATCAGGACAAATAATGGGGACAACCAAATACAAAACAGATAGATGACCTAAAAGAATGGGAGAGTGATAAAAAGTACTTGATACTCCCTGAAGGCAAAGCTCCAACCCAGATTGCAAATGATGTGAAAGCACAACTCTACTAACTTTAGTACAGTTGTGTTGAAAGAGTAAAACAGTACTGAAATAGTGAGTTAAGATACTGTGATTACTGTGTACTAACTTCAATTAAAAACCTCAAACACTTTCATTCAAATAACAAAACTTCTTCAAGATTTTGAAGTTAAATGACATTTTTATGGTTCTATAATTTCATTTTTCCATGTCATTTTATTTCTTTTGTATCTAACTTTTACCATTAATTATTATTTATTGTCAATTTTCGTATTTATGTTAACATATATTTGTTTATCTTTGTTCTCTAAATCATCTTAGAGAAAAAGGATAAACAAATAGATGTTAAAATAAATAAACCAAAGTATACAATCTTTCTAGTAAGTTTAAGAATGCACATCACTTCTAAGATTCAAAGGTTTTCAATGACAGTGACTTTATTCAATTAATTTATTGTTGCAAATGCATTGTTTTACATAGTGTTTGTTTAACATAGCTGATATGGGAGAGGTCTGTTAACAAGTTTTTAAGCTATGCAATCTTGTTGTATTTGAACTTATAAAAATTGTTGGAACTATTTTAAATTGTAAGTAGTGATACAGTTATTGTTTAAAAATTAAAATAATGTATGATGATATGTAAAATACTGATTACGTCATTAAAAACCTTTGGATGTCAAAAGTGCTGTATTGAAATTCTTAAACTTACTAGTAACAATTACAGAGAAAAAAAAGATAGAATTACAGCATCTCTTATCCAAGTATACAAATATAAACATCCAAATAACCAAAGTTTCATACTTAAATATTTGAGTAACAGTTAAAGAACACAGATACTACAGTAAAGTGAAGATTAGTAATTAATCTTGAAGCTTGTAAATATACTGCAGCTTTAACATTTAGAGCTTTAATTTAGAACCTAAATTGATTTGAAAATAGTCAAAAATATTTGTTTTTGAATAAACTTTGCTGGTTTGAATGTTTATCCTTTTGGTATTTTCAATATAAAAACTTTTTCTTGAAGATGGTCACCATGATTTTTATCTAATTACAAATACAAGATTAGAGATAACTATTAAAAAACATGTACAAATACACCTTGAACATATGAATCAATAGAAAGGAATAAGATGGAAAGTTTGTGTCTAATTTTTCTAATTTTCATTTAAGGTCTGCCAATGTTCTCAGAAAAATTTAATTGCTAGGAGTTAATTATAGAAGAAATTATGCAGTAAAATATATAAATATAATTTGCATGTAACCAAGTAAATAAATATTGGAAAATGTTTAGTATTAGACACAAATGAGATTGGAAAATTTAAAGAAAAAAGGAAGTACACAACAGGATGCAGACTGCAACATAAAGAAATAAAGATTTCGGAAAGTAGAATAAATGTAAAATTTTAAAATTTTTTGCAAATTATAAGAACAAAATGAAAATTATGTATGCAATAATTACAACTACAGTAAAACAAACAGCTTATTATGTCTTGTCTGACATTTTTAAACAGTTTTTCAAAAATTGAATATGATGAAAAGTGAATTGTATCTTTCTTTCTAACTGGAAAAAGGTGAAATCAATCAATATATTTCATTTTCTAGCAACTACAGTGATGAGGAAAGTTTAAAACTGGAAGTGAAATTAATTTATAAACACATCAGGAACAATAAACACTATAGAAGCAAATGAGCTATAGGTTTAATGAACAGATGAAAAATTACGCAAAAATAAGTCAAGAGAAAAGACTTTAGACTATTAATTTATATTGACCAAGTCAATATTTGAATGTTTTATTAAACAACAACATTTAAAACCTGATAGTTATATATTAAAGCCAAATGATTGCAAGATTATATTTAGCTATATTACTACTACTATTCATAATTAAATGTAATTTGTTTGGCACTAGAGGTATATCTATCTCTAGTGCCAAATTACTTTGCATTTAATTATGAATAGTAGTAGTAATATAGCCCAATATAATCTCTGCAATGATTTGGCTTGAATATTTTATTTCTAAAAGAAATAATACGATTGTAATTGTTTTTCTGACATATATCATACTGAGGACCACTGCCATCATTGTTGGTAGATGAACAAGAATGTCTAACTTTGCAATTTGGAGGTTATCAGCAAGTGGGTGTGTGGCAAAATTCTTTCATTTAAAGAAAGTGGAAAGAATGGAAAAGAATTTCCTGGAGGAATAGGACAACTGAAAACCATCATCAACAATTTTAGAAAAATCCAAATACCATATTTACTCACGTATAAGATGATCTCGCATATAGGACAAGGTGTGACTTTAAAGATCAAAATATAAGAAAATTAGATTTATTAAAACAGTTCTAATTTTATTTTGTTTAATCACAAATAAAATATCAAATGCATGTAAATGCACACATTGTCCCACAAAAATTAATGGTATTTTAAACTTTAAAGAAAAATCTTGTAAAATCGACAACATAATTTGTTCATGTAAAGCTGGACAATCAGGAACCTTTTTTTGCCAATTCTTAACAGTCTAATCCACTCTTCGTCAATTACACTTATTAGTTTCTCTGAATTCTGATTTCCAAATAATCATCTGTTTTCACGTGGAAATAGATTAAAACTTATATTGGACTCTTGTATGATTTTGGAATTTCAATTTGGAATTCAATCCAAAAGCTTTGCTATTCATCTTTACTCCTGACAACACACAAGAACAATTGAAACAACCCAGATAAAATACTTCCAAAATATCACTTATGGTAGCTGCTATTTCGTTATGAATGTGTCTAATCCGATCAATTCAGTTTGGTAGACTATCAATACAGCTTTCAGGTTAGATACTTCTTTTATTGTTTTGACATACGTTTACATTCCTTTCCTATTCTAAAATCACACGAAACTTCCCTACTGCATCCAAAAGGTAAATTGGATGCAGTAGGGAAGTTTCGTGTGATTTTAGAATAGGAAAACAATAAAAGAAATATCTAACCTGAAAGCTGTATTGATAGTCTACCAAACTGAATTGATCGGATTAAAGAGACACATTCACAACAAGATAAAATACTTTTGTTTTTAAACACCATCCAGTAAAAAAATGCAAATACACAGTTCACAAAAATGATTGTAAAAACGCAAAGAATCCTTCGCTCACACATATAGGACGACCTAGGTTTTTCAAGCAGTGATAAATGAATAAGAACCTCATTTTATATGCAAGTAAATATGGTAGTTTAA